GGGGAGGGGAAAACCCCCAAACCTGCAGCTGTGAAAAACAGGCTAGCTGCAGCATGATTTATTTTCATCCTGCCACTCATTCACACTATATCAAATTTTACCTCTGAGTCCTGAAAATCACTCAAAGCATCTAAGTTTTCATTGGAGGTTTGCCTGGAGCCTTTTTCAGGATCAAGGTCTGCCTCATCAGGTGTCCTACCAACATGAATTACTCTAGTTCAAAGTATAATTCTAATACAAATTAATCACAGCACGTACTCAAATATTTATCAAAATGTTTCTCAACCTAGTAATTTCACACTATAGAATTTTGAGATATGAAATAGATTAAATATTTTACCCTGGAAGTGGCTTCCAGTCCTTTTGACTCCTGAAATGCAGGATTTAATATTGTTACTAAGAGGTGACCATTCATCTGCCAAGTGAATCTCACATGATGAGAAAGCTTTCTGCATTACAAATGTATGGAAAATTCTGTCTCAGAATTCAATTACAAATATCAATACTTGCTATTCAGAGCAACAGCTCCAAAATAAAGCTCTTTAATTTCAGATTATAATTGAAAATGTAACCAAATTACTGTATATTCTATTGCTTTTGACACCACTGACAAATACAGGAACTAATCCCGTACCTGCTACTCATATTATCACTAATGCAAGTAATCCCATTCAAATTAAGAACATGTAAACAAAAATTATTCATGTAAGTAAAAATTACAAGAAAGGGTAGATAAATCCCCTGAAATTGAATGATACAATCCATTTATTTAGTGTCTTTCTCTAAGGTATGTGGTTTTACACGCCCAGTTGAAACTAAAGGTACAACTGAGACTACAAAAGCTTAAATAACAGATACTGCACAAGGTGCAGCCAGCAGAGCTGATACAGCTGTTGATCTTATGAAAAAAGCTCCCAGAATCTCCTTTCATTCCTCACTTCATGTTCTCCCACATGCTCATAGTCTATGAGGCTCCTGACTCAAGCAGAGGGCTCAGCCTTATGAGCTACTACACAAGTGGGCACAGCCTACTGCCATGACAGTCCCATTAGAGGAAAAGAGACAGCAAAAAACACTGACAGGATTATACTGAGAATTGTTTGCTGTATTTTCCTGCCTCCGTTTTAGATCCTCAACCCACCACTACTCAGTCACAGCACAGATGACTTACCAAGAAATGGTATTATAACTAAAGTATTAACATCAAAGGAACATTTGAGTAAGAAAAAGTTTTAAAAGTCAACCCCATTCTCATTAAAAAGGGATGAATAAAAATGCTATAGATAGAATCAATTAGTCTACGGTTGTCCAAGCTAGCTGATACCTTCAAATATTAAAATCTTCTCATACACAAGTCCACAACAGACTATTCTAATCATGCTTCTGCTGCATAGCTGAGCCGATGGAGACAGGAATACATTTCTCAGTGAAATTTCCACCATTTACAGCACCCTGAGCCATCAGTCATGCTTCAATTTGCCTGTTGCAGCTGGACAACTTGCCAGCTGCTATTAATAGTCCAGTACATGAAACTGTCAGTCCTTCAAATGGCAAGGTAAAGGCAATTAGTTTATAAGGTTAAAAGCAAAAGTTTTGGGGAGGGATAGTCTATTTTAATACAATCACTTTAAAAAATAAGCAAGCCATATCTAGATCGAGCACGTGTCTTCTGTGCAAGACTAATAATCACATCTCACCAAAAATTGAATAAGTCTATTGTGTAAATGAAGGACTCCCTAAGCACACATTAACAAGAGAGACCATAGCAATCTATCATTTCAACGATCCCTGAACAACAGGATCTGTAAGTACTTTTGATAGAACAAATTGTGACAGCTTCATAGGAATTACTGCAAGTTGCATAGGCAAAAATCTACAGAATAAAAGGAATAGAAATAGGATGTAGGCTGTTCAGTCAATTCTCATATGATCAAGCATTGAAAGTAGCCTTGCTAAAACAAATGTTTTTCTCACTAGAATAAGAAGACAGGGATAGTATAGGAGTGCCTCAAGTGCCACGTCAGAACTAACCATAATGAGAAAATCAAATAAATATTGTGTTGCTAAAAGAAAATATAAATAAATCAAAAATATTTATTTTCATGTTTCAGTTAAAGCAAAATTTAGCACTGCATTTCTCATCATATATAAAAACATTATCTATCTATCTATCTATCTATCTATCTATCTATCTATCTATCTATCTATCTATCTATCTATCTATCTCTTAGCTTGACTGGCCTCCCAGTCAATCTAACAGTCCTATGAGTAAAGTGTAAGAACACAAAAACCTGGATCTATTTCTTACAAGAAGTTAAAGCCAAATTATTAATGCATGACAGAGTCTGGTACAGGTAGATGTAAGTGTGCTGGCACACACACTTTTACCTCACCTCCTTCATTTGTGCTTGTATATCATCTTATATAGAAATAGTCACAAGAAATTTGACAAGTAGGTCAATACTTGAAAACTGCACTATCCTTTTCTTTGAGGAACAATTCTGGTTTTCTCCACCTTATGGAACTCTCAAACAAGACACTTAAAATAAAATGCTTCAAAGATAGTGAGAGCATATGGCAAAATAAAACCCTCTCACCTCAACTTCTCTGCAAAAGAACTAAGTTGCTGTCTATGAATGATTATAATTTATCTGCTAGCCCATAGCTGTGAATAGTCAGAAAAGAGATATTTTAGAATAGTTCAGAAATGCTTGTCCACATTAGATTAGCCTTTCATGCCAACACTTTTACTACTGACATAAACATATCTTCCCAATAGGGAAGTGTTTACCATTTGACAATTTTGCATGAATAGAAAGAAACATCAGAAAGTTTAAAAAGACAAGCTGAAAGAAACAAAAGGTAGTATGTCAATGACCTAGCAAAAGGCCAGTTTCTTACTTACAATGTGCCACCTAAAATTTAGCACCTTGATGTCAAATAAATACTTCATTCATATTCTCTCTGTTGAGGGATTTCTCCGTGTGTAATGAACAGATCAATACAGATCATTTCGTCAGTACCTTATTGCACTTCACAAAAGCCACTAATGACTCTTCCTCTCCCTTCTGTAAAGCTCACTGGGAGTTTTGCCACAATGTTCAAGGGAGTTAGAGGTATCTCAATTCTCAGCACTGTTGTGAGAGGTATGAAAATGGTTCACAACTGCAACACATTACTGGAAACTTAGGCCACAAGATGGTGTTCTGAATGCACATTAGAAGCCAAACCAGCAGATCCCAAAACACCTTAATAACAACTGATTCATCTAAATTTTAACACCTCTTTTCCACATTTTCCTGAAACTTTGATGTCTCAATGTTATTATTCACTTACTTCGAAGACTTTTGTAAGTAAAGCACACTAAAAATGATAAAAGGCATATAACTTAGAAAAATGTGATCATAATAAGATAACACAATACATTGCACATAACAGTTGCCTCTACAGAAAGAGCTTTATGGGAATGTTACAGCATTTGTATTTACTAACCTGTTGTAATCTAGTGGGCTGTGATTACTTTTCTGTGTTTTCCTTCCAACACCAATGAAACTCTTCCCTCGTGAATAAACTTCTTCACTGAACACTTTTGCTCTCTGACTCCCAAGTGCTGTTTTCTCCAGCTGAGCAGCTGGTGTGAAAAGCTTTGGGGAACAGAAAAGAGTTTGAGGTATCAAATCTGCTACTATCCTCTTTCACCGATAAAATGTTTCATTTTGGCTGCTTCAGCTCAAGTGCCTTCGGTAACTATCAGTGGCTTCATTCATTCATGTGTCACTAACACTTAAAGATGTTTCTGGGGTTTTTTACCCAAGAAATAGAAGTGCTAAAAAATGCAGATTGAGACAACCAAAAAGTAGCTGCCCACTTCAAAAACAGTTTAGGCTAGCTGAAACTTTTTTACTTCTGTAAATCCTGTTTCTAAAAGAACACTACTGTTGGCAACTTCTTGTATCTTCTATCATATAAAAACTAGAGCACTCAATCAGGAATTTGAGGGTATTTGAAATCACACATTTGTCCCCTATTTGCCCCCTTCAGAGTGCCATCTCTCAGAATTGTACCTGCCCACCCTCCCATCCCCATCCCTGGGATATTAGGTGGGAAATTTCAATAAAACAGTTGCTCTTCACTTCTTGCATTAAACTTCTTCCATTTGTTATTCCATTAAGCCATCAAAACTCATTTTCCTAATTCAGGCAACGCCCAGTAGTAAATCTAATTGTAATAAATACAAAAAGCAAAAAAGGTGAATGCTATAGAATGCAAACCTGACAGGGTAGTGACTTTATCTTGAAAAGAGGATTACTTGGCACGAGGTCACAAAGTCAGTGCAGACACAAAAGTGTGACTACAACAGTTAGGGTCAGACTCCAGAATTTAAGTCTTCTCTGCAACACTCTGCTTCAGGGCAGTCAAATGCAATTCAGCTTTGATCCAAAAACCTTACATGGTCATAGCATATATAAGCTGATGAGAAAAAGGACTAAAACAGCTGTAGAGCTTTTGGTCTGAAGCATTCTGTGTAGAGCTCAGAACCTGTGGCTGTTAAAAATCAGTCTGCACAGGGAGAGACAGCTTGATTCACGTGCTTATAGTTAAATGTTCTTTCCAGGTAACTTTGAAACCGATTCCACTGTACTAAAGCCACTTTTTTCAAGCAGCCACAATACAATAATGGGATAATTTTCATTACTCAAATTTGAGCTACTGCAAAAAAATCCAATTTGAAAAGCAGAGTCCTTCTCCCCAAAAACTGCTAATTACAACCAGAATATTCCTGCTTTCCTTGTCTCAAGTGAACATTCACATTGTTTTTCTGACAATTAATGCATCATAGACTACACTATGTTCCTAAGCCCACTACTTTTTTAAAAATACAAGACATAAAATTATATTTAATTGTGTATACAGCTTAAATATATTATACCAATATGCACCAACATGTCAGAAATTTTATTAGTGCATAAGAAAAGTTCCACTGGGTAGCAGCTGCCGCCTTTCCTAGGGTTCCAAGTAATTGTTGTCTTTTAAATATAAAAAGTGTTCTTAGAACTTCTGAATGCATACACTTTGCTGGACATTTTCTGTTCCTTCTTCTAGGTCTATTTTGAAAATCTCTGCATAAGCTCATTTCAGTTTCTAAAAATACATATAATTATGCTCATAAGTTTGAAATCTTGGCACTTCTCTATTTCTAAACTTAAGATCCCAGTTAATCATGTAATTGTACAATATGAGCCTGTGATAGTGAAGATGCCCCTGTAAAAAAAAAAAAAAAAAGAGTAAAAATTATTTTGCTTTTCAGTGCTTGATGCATGCTAATGAATATCTGCTTTGTTCTAGAAAACACATGAAATACAGAGAAACCTTTAATTTTATACACGCAAACTGAGCAGAGATGCATGTGCATTAATAAAACAGGGCACATACTTAGTGGCATCTGTGGTAAACTGAATGCAGGAAATAAATTTCTAGAGCAGAAAGAGAGGCAGAAGTAGCAGCTTTGGGGAGTTTAAAGAGAATCTCTTGTATGAATAAAATCCTATGGATTGGCATCAATTTGCAAGTATTTTCTATCATTCTGAAGATTTTTATCTATCTTATTTTTCCAAATAAATGAAAAATGCCAAAAAATACCAAAGAAATAACCCAAAACCCAAACCAACCAAAAATAAATCAAAGAAAACAAAACAAAAAAACCACAAACAAACGAACAAAAAAGAAACCTTCTTAGGAAAACTATTTTTAAAAAACCAAAAACAACAGAACAAATATTCAATATCAGATGTTCTGAGGGTTTTTTTTCTTTTAATTTTCTTTTATTCCTTCCCAGACAAAATCATTTGCCAACGTTGAGCAAAAGTTAGGAAAGGTTTGGATTTTGTAAGAGTTCTTTTTATGATGAGTATACTATGAACAGTAAAAAACATCATCCTACCCTTAGAGCTATCTTTTCCTCAACATTTTGCAAGATGTAGTAAATATTTACATCCTCATGCTTCACTCTACTCGCCTGTATAATGATATGCTGCCATACCTACACTGTCTTTATCTAACGTCTGATTCATTAATGATTGTAAGGAACACTGAGAAGCTCACTTAAAAGCATAATATCAGAAACAGCTTTTGCAAGGAGCATCATAAATGAAGTGTCATTATAATAAAATTCAACTTTTCTATAAGAAAGGGTACAATTATATTCATATGTATTTCCTACACGCTAGAAATAATGATATTGAGAGTTTCTAATCAACAAAAATGCACTGATATCCATGCTTAAGTACAAAAGGGATCATTCAGTAATGATTCTATTTTTAACATCTCATATTTGTGAACTGGAAGTCAAGTACAAGAACATGCTTAAGCTGATCCTTACCAGACACCAGGCCACTAAGGCTTACAATCTTCATCTCTGCTTTGTTCTTGCTCTCCTATGCCAAGGTGCAACAGAGAGGCCTAGCTCCAGGTGATTCCAAGTGCCATATGTGCTGCATTTCCTGCACACACTAGGAGTTGGGAACAGTATTTCCAGGTTTACAGCTAGTCTGTTTTTCTTGCTTTTTAAGCCTGCCATCTCCTGTTATTTATACATTTTATTTAATATGTGCTTTTTATTTTTTTCCCCAAATACCAAGGACAACTAAAAACATACAACAGACAGGCACAGCAGGGAAAATGGAAGCATGCGCTCAAAGACATGCAGCCAAATTCAGCCCTTTAGAGAATCTGCTCACAGAAGCATGAAATTTTCACAGATGTCTGAGTAGTGCAAGGATAGCATGACTGACATGTTCTGCTGTCTTTGCTATCCAGAGTATTTTTGTGGATGGCTCTAGATGTGGGAGGGGCTTCCCTTTCACAGCATTTGAAAATACAAATCCACACAGCCGTTTCCAAAAGAGGAAGGCATACTAAAATTGCTGACCGACATGCCAAGCTTTAGCCTCTCTGAGTGGTCCTACTGGCTTTGAAGGGGCTATTCATATGGAAAGGCACATTATCTAGCATGGGTTCAGTTGTATGGCCAGATTTTAGGACATATGCCAGCTTTGTGGAGGCGCCTCGAACTGATTAACAGCTCTGCCGTGGAGGGGCAACAACAAACACGGGAGACAGAGACACTGTGGACACTGCTCCAGCTCTAGAGAGCTCCAACAGCAGTGATGTTGGCATGGGAAGAAAAAGAACAGGGTGACAAGACATTCAGACAACAGTTTTGGGGCTATTACTAGAGCTGCCATGCAGCATATCTCTACTAGAAGAACACCCTAATGCAAAGGCTAACACATAGACTCCTCATAGAGCAAGCATAATCACCTAGGTTTGCAGAGGCAGTAAGATGGCAATCACTGGCAGTAATTGTCCTCCTTCCAACTGGCATTTGGAGTGATGATGGTTTAAACACTGCCAGGAACAACAGAACAAAAAGATAAATCCAATGCTACAGACTAATCAGTTCTCAGATTAATGTGGAAATTAAAAGTCTACAAAAGCAACAAGCATTAGTAAACAGTTTTCATTTGTTACAAGTACTATGATCCAGACTTTGCCCTCTCCAAACACCTCTATCTCTTAAAAAAATTCCAAAGCCAAAACATTTTTAAACAAATTCCATACATAAGTCTATTTTTAGCAACCAAGTCTAGAAAAACAGGGCTCAGGGTCAATCAGCGTTAATTCAAAAACCACTACTTGCAACAAAACAATATATTTAACATCACAACCCTATTTCTATGTTCTGGTCAGAAACACTGTTTTCTGACAACATTCATATAATTAAATGACAGAGAATCTTTCATTAAATACAAGGGCTGATTCTTATCTCACAAGAATTGATGGCAAATTTGCTGGCTGAAGTTTGAAAACAACCACACTCTATAGTTAGCATACATAACACGCTAAGTCTGGGGTGTGGAAAAGCTCAGTGTGTCGTCAGTTTGTGTTCTTTTTTTCCCCCCCAAGAAAAAGATCTGGCAGCATATATCTGTTTCACAGTAAAAATGAGGTATTAATACTATCCAGTAATTCAGCTGCTTCCCAGTGTTTGGGCAAACCTTGGTGAAGAGAGCAAACTCCTTGTTTTCATACTTGTTAATCTGCCAGTTTCCTCGTCAGGAATTTACATGAGAATATGTGCATTTTCATGCAAGCTAAAGTATTTTTTTTCAAATACCTTACCAGAGTAATAACTATCATCTGGCTGTAAAGCTACACCCTGCACTATGAGTTAGATGCTGAGTGACTGCATAGTAAAGAATATATGGTAAACCAATATCATAACTGCACAAAATGGAATCCAGATACAATTCCAGACAGTTATGTTGAATGCTGGTCACTGTGGGGAAAATGAAATCTTTCAAGCAGTGTAATAAAAACTCATAGCAACACCAGAAAAATTATAAACTTATAAATAAACTAAGAAACAATTGCTGTATGTGCTGAACTTGGTTGCCCGCAAAAGATGAGAAAGAGCTTTCCTGTTATAGAAACCTACAATGAGGTAGAAAGTAAACTTCCTGAAATGCCAGATGAAACCCAGGAAATGAATGTTTTCTATTTCTCCTGAGACACTTTTTGAATTATCAAGGTAGAAACTCAGTAGGAAGCTTTTTAACATGTCTGTTTTATCAATTTTATCTGCCTTTGGAGTGAAATTGCTATCCTTGGGTACCTTGATTTCAGCCACTCCTGACTCTCCTTTTGCCAGGTACCAGTTATTATTTCAGTGTATCAGCACAGGTCAAAAGATGAAGATTTGCTTACATTCCTTACTCCCACACTCACATTTCAGAACAGGCTAAGGGAATGCAACATTCATACTGCTAGGGCACTGAAAAAGGGCCTTTATATAAATGAAATGCAAGTCTTCAATTTATGGCCTAGGGGAAACTTAAATAATACTGACACCTTTCAGCTACCCTCCACATGTATTCTCAAACCATGGACTGAACTCCCAAGGTCTTGTCCCAGTACGCACAGGGTTCATTGCTAACCCTCGAGCTCACTGCCTGAGAAGACAGCTGTTTCAAGATCCTAGTCAAGAGCTGGAAGTGACTCTGACACAGCAATAGATCCTGAAAGCCAAAGGTTCACTCTTTCAGTTGAATGGATGAAAAACCCCTCTTGAAACCAGGACTACAGGTAACCTAAGATATTTCGCTCTCTTAAAGAAAAAGTGAAGCTTGTGAAATATATTCTGGGATACCCAGAGTTAATTGTTCAACAGGAAATTCTAACACTGTTCAAAGATGATCCACATGGTTCAGAATATAATGTAATATGCTCCTCCTAAAAGAAGTTGTCAGTATCTTGTAGGTTTTTATTACAATTGCTCATGATAAAACACACTATTTAATTACTAACATGAAAGTGATTCTATCATAAAGGAAGAAGGTGAAATGAGACCTCTCTGCCTTCTCTGCACATAAAAATACAGTGCTTTCTCAAATGCATTTTTAATGATGCATTGCATTTTCTTAGATCTGTGGGTTGTAATTTCCCTGTTGATGTCCTTGGATATGATGCAATACCTAAAGCAATATACAGCCACAATATATAATTTTTAAAAATCTAGACTTCTTAAGATATTGTTCAGGAAGAGATTTGTGATTTTGTGCCCAACTTTATAGTCCATTAAATGTCACATGCTTAAGTGCTCAACTTCTAAAATACACTATTTTTCCTAAGACATTTCATGTTGAACTTCTAAGATAAGATAACTATTTCCAAAATGCTGAATTAACATTTCTAAAATGCTGGGTATAGTCTGGAACTTGATATTTTTTTAACCAGACAACCAAACTTCAAAACATCCATTCTTCAGGTACGGTAATAAATTAATTGTCAAAATAAACAAACTTACACAGAACATAACGTCAGAAAACCAAATATTTTTAACACACAGTGTCATCTTTTCAATAAAACAGAGCACAAGTCAGAGTTCGTGACAAACAGGTATTTTTAGTGGGCATCTTAGAATCTACAGACTGTAAGTGTATATGGGCTTTCAATATTTATAAGCACTATCAAAGAAACAACTGAACATAATGTGAGTTTTCCTTACCCTGACTGAAAACTCTTGTACCAGGACAACCACATCCACTGGGAAAGCAGCATTATTTGGAAAGAGGCCAGATCAGACAGATGGCAGAGAAAAGGGAATCAGTGAAATGTTCAGTGTTGAAAAGTTTCAGTAGCAATCTAATGTGCTAAGCAACAAATAAATTGGTCAGTCTCTTCGTCTTCTGATATTACTAAAACCAAACAAAGGTATAGTATAAGCAAAACATATTTTTCTAAATTAAATATAAATATACAAACAAATAAATATAGTCATCTGTAGTTTTGAGAAAATTATGTGAAATATTCAGTGAAATAAGGTATCAAACAGTAAATTTTTCTCTATATATATATAATCCAAAATATATTCTTGTGTTTTCCAAATAGTACACAGTGTATAAAATAAACCATGCCACTTAGCTACCTTAATTTTTAACATTAGTTTTTGAAACTAGGGTAATTTGATTCTTATAATTTATAAGAACTGCATGACCACCAGTAAGTTTCAAATTAATAACTTTGATAAAAACGTGACAGATTTAGTTCAGGTGTATGATCAATAGGCTACACTCTCCAAGCCACTGCTCTTTATTTGATGTAGTGCTGCTCACAAAAACCCAAGACAGACGTGATCTGCTTTCATGTTTCATGCACTGAGCTTAGGGATGCCCAGTGCAACCCCCAAGTAAAGATTCAACCAGGTCTAATTACACTGTTGAACAAATGTTCAAGCAGATATTCTTCTGTTTCAAACAACACACAAAATGTTGATGTAGTACCATCATCCAGTCACTTTTATCCCCACTTGAGTAACTCTGGAAGGCTGATAATTTGGGAATGAAGCTCTGGTACTACAACTGCATGTGTAGTGGTCATGGAGACAGGTGTCAGTGCCGAATGGAACAAGCACATGCTAAGACACTGGGGGCAATCCTGGTGAGCTATAGTGAAACCATTTATTGTTTGCAGACACTCTGAGCAGTTCAAGGAAAATATTTTCGATAGCTACACTATTAGGGGTCCTGCAAACATTTTTGTATTAAACACAAGTCATGTATCTGTACATACTCTCTGTACTAGTCCTATCCAGCTCAAAGACATGGACAATGTGGATCACACTGTGCCAGTCATCATGCTATACAACTATTTTCATTTGTGCTGCCACAAATAAAGAAGTAAATATAGAAGTGGTACCTCTGGTATGAAATCTAGCTTTTGTTGTCAAGATTATTTCCTTGCCCAGTGACATAAAAGTGTTCAGTATGCCATTATGTGGATAAAACAATTAAAAAGTTTCTCAGAACTAACTCTGTCATCTTGGACAGCAAAATTACTGCTGCAAGGAGCCACCAGCACATTTGTTTTCATTACAATCAAACGCACCATCCTCATCAAAATGATAATTTGACAGGGATTTTTTTGTTCAACTCATGACAATTTATCCATGTCAGTATTTATTATCTTACTGTCATGAAAGCTCCTATGCAGAGTGCCACTTCATTATCCATACATGAGTTTAAAGCAGTAGTTTGCCTGATCAGAAGTGCCAAGCAGTTTATCATTTTGTATTTGCCAAAATTATTTTGTAATAGGTCACTGGGTTTTTTCCCTTAGAAAGCAATGTGTATGGAATGTTTTCTTAAAATATTAGACAGCCAATTCCTCTACTGGATTAGTACAGTTCATTGGAGTACAGTGCTATTGTTTCAATTAAACATATCTTGGAATAAAAATTGTGGCTAGCTGAAATGAAAACAACTATTAATTCTCAACAATATTTTCTATTTAACACCTCTGTAAATTCTCAGAAGTAATAGCTTTTGTCCACTTATAATAATATAAGCTGGCAAAAAGTGGATTTATTATTAGCAAAACACCAAGATTAATAAGTGCTGAGTCTTGGCAAAAATCTGAATGTTTTACATACTACTCTGGAAAAGTAACAAAGGCATGACAAAATTTACAAACAAGGAATGCCCATGTAACAATATTCAGAAGACTACTTTAGTGATTAGTATTTCATTAATGAGGGAATTGGATTTCTGGCTGCATTTTGTTCCTTCAAATGTTAAGATATTCTGTCTGTAAAAAGCCTTCTTATGTTCTCTGTAGAACATTTTCCTAACCACCACCACCCCTCAATATATGCACTTTTGTATGATGATTGTATGTACTTTCTAAACTTGGTTCCATCTCTTCTGTCTGAATTTTTTCTGAGGTACACCATCTGAGTTGACGTCAACAATCAGCAACACTCTTCTTGATGGGCTGGACTTTCTTGACTGGAATTTAACATTTTCTTTTATTTCTAATATCTGTCTGCCTTTGCAGGGACTATACAGATAAATTCCTGTGATTATGCCCTCCAGTTTGCCAGCTTTCTGTCAAGCATTTTGTTTCCTTGTGCTCCTCTGCATCTGAAGTCTCTCATCTTACACCTACACTACCATTTCTTTGGGACTCTGTCTTTGGTTAGCGTTTCCCCCAGCCCCAGATATTACCTCTTTCAACTTCAAAAATAAATCCCTCTAGTGTGCACATGCCAACACAAACTACTTCAGTTCCCTAATACCTGTGTCTTTCAGTACACACATTCCCCGCCTTTCTCTGACAGCTCTCTCTGGATCACTAACTGAATATCATTGTGGCTGAAACAGAGCTGTTACTGTCCTCACCCTTCTCTCTCTCCAAGTTAACCTTGCACAAGGCCTCCTGTGCTGATATGGCCATCCTGCTGATTCCACAAGCATGTAATTCAAGTATCTTCAACTTAGACTTCTCTATAGGTCCTCTTCTAACAGCTATATACAATAATTACAGTCTTGCTGCTTACTGCATGAGGTAAAGTTTTTCCCAACCATCCATATAGATAAGCCTTCTCCAAGCTCCTACCATCTTGGTTTCTTCAAATTCTGCCAAATGCCATCCTGTTGGATGGTCAAATAATAACATACATATCTTAGCTACACTGCTTTTCATGCTAGGGAGGAGATTTTCAGAAATAATTGTGCAGGATCATGTTATCTTCAAATCTTTCCTTCAAATTGTGTTTGTTTTGGTTTTTTTTTAACCACTGTGACAGTTAACTGCTGTGCTATGCTCCCAGACCTGCACTTCCATTGGGTCTTCTGCTTCCTGGTTACACCTGCACTGCAAGGTCTTTGGAGCAGAGCCAGCTTCTTGTGTTTGTACAGTGCCACCCACAGCAAAGCCCATTTTATGACTAGGACTCCTGGAGGACATCGACCAGCACTGCAAACCACAGCAAAGCGTCACTGTGGTAAGAGCAGCTGTCTCTGTCAGCATAACTTTCCTTGCTGCAGAAGGGAGAGAAACCCCATCAGACTCTTCTTCCCACACTTGTCTGCTGCAGCTTCTCTTAACAAAACAGTGTCTGCTTGACTTGGAGGCAGTTTCTCCAAGGGACACATCAGTGTCTCATCCTTTGAAGCCTGTCTAGCAATCACCCAGCTCTTTCTTCCTCATCTGAGAAAGAAAAGCTCTTCCTCATCTGAGAAAGGTAAAGCTTTAAGAGGCAGAGCAAACAAAAACTGTCAAAACAAGCAGGGTTAGATCCAGAATCTATCATATTTAAAAGAAATGCTAAATTTACTGTTATAAGCTTTAAAAAAGTCCCCTGAAACAAAGAAAAACAGGCTGAAATTGGCCGAGTCATCTCAGTAAGAGGCAGAGCTCTTTTCCAGTCCCACCACTGTGTAATCCAGCCATTCCCAGCCACCTGCTGGCAGTTCACACTCCCTCTCCAGGCTGACTTCCTGTAAAACTAACATATTCCAGCTGTTCTGCATGACAGGCCTTAACCCTTGCTTCCCCTTGCTAAATAACTCACTGTCTTCCTCTGCATCTTCGTTTTTCCAGAGGAATTTCGTGTCACGGTCTTCATGTAACTCTGTGATGAGGCCTAAAAGGAAAGGTGAACTGTTTAGATTGCAGAGTAAAATAAACAAATAAATAAGCCCCAAAATGGGATCTTCTTCCTTTGAATTCAAGCATGGGAATTCTGGAGGGGTGAATAAGATAAAAATAACAATCTCTTCTGGATCTGAATATTCTGCAATCACTTGGTATTTTAATTCTAATGAGAACATAAATGATAAACAGGCCTTAAGAATTTCCCTTTCAAATTTATATCTCAGGAACAAAATGATTCCTTGCCACCCAAGTTTTATATATATACTCTATCCATACTTTTCATATATGTATGGATATAAATGGTCTTATTCTAGTTCTGTAGGAAAATTGCTGCTTTGGTAAATGTACAAAAAGCAGATACAGCTTTAGTACTGGTCATCACAAGAACAAAGTCATGGAAAAAACCCTACAGTTTCTTTATAAAAACAAAATAAAGCCTTATTTTAATTTCACTAAACTAAACAAAAAAGTATTATGAGAATTTCACATGTGTCTTGTCATACTCAAAACCAGACACAGTATCAAGAATGAGTACTCGTTCTTCAACTCCATCTGTGGTTCCTCCTATTAGGGGAAGGGTAAGTAAGTTCTTCCTGCCATTAATTCTTCAAGAAGGTTGCTTTACTTTTCTGCTTTTCAAAATGTATTTTCACATTTCAAATGCAGGGACATAATTTAGATACTAAAATGTGAATCTGGGAGATGATGAGGGTAAAACGCACTTCTGAAAGAAACCTCCCAGCAGTAGGAGGTCTACAATGACTGCACAGAAATGAGGATAACATGGTAGCATGAATTTAAACCCACCTTGCACTCCAGCTGTTCACATATGAAGAGTCAATTCATAGTCTGCATATTGTGTCTGTTCTGTGACAGGACATGCGACAAAGTCACGAGCTGATACACCTCATTACAGGACCAGGGGACTCTCAAATGCTTGCACATGGAAAGAAGCACCTGGGGCTGCAGTAAAAATATCCATGAGGGATAGCTTTGACTTGCATCTTATTGGAGGTATTTACATAAGGCAAGCCAGCTGTTAAAAGGAGAAAGCTGATTCAGTGCTCTCTTTAAGGATTAAGACATTTTGAGAAACAGCCTCATTTATTAGGATCAACAAGGTTTTGGTAGTCATCACACATCCTAACAGGAGGCTAAAGTGCACCTGGGCCTACATCTGAACTTTCATGTAGTTGAGAGTCTTTATCAACCAATAAAGTAAAAATGATTGGAATAACAGTTTATACTACAGAGAAATAAAGCAACTCATATAATATATAAATAATAAATAAAACATTTCAATTCTAACTTTTTTTTACTTGTATACAATGATAGATATCTACATTCTCAATCTTTAAAAATATTTTTTAATTATACATTACTTGTAAGGGAATCAGAAACTGTACTACATGAAAAGCAATTATAGCATTGTATATCCATAGGACATATTTCAACAGACAGATATAGAGAAGGAAGAATAAAAATAGATTACCCTAAAGGATGCACAAATTGGTTCAGAAATGTTTCCAGATTTTGCGGCTGAATTCTGAAGGCAAATATCTGTAATCCTATGAAAACAGCAACAACAACAACAAAAAAACCTGTGGATAAGAACTAATCTTCTCTACTGAGTCTATACCCAGAGGTTTTCCCCTGCCCTTAAGAAAGGGGAAACATTAAACAATGAGATATGGAATATAACTTGGATGTTTATTTCTAGATCAAATATAAATTATTCTTTGGTTCCTTTTGCTTTTTGTAATTTGCAGGGTTTAGATCTTGCCTCTCAAGTTTTCTAAACTGAGAGTCCATCTGAAACTTTTCATTATGACACGAGCACCCTGTGAAAGAAGAGAGCCAGTAGTGTCTATCAGCCTAGAATGACATTGGCTTTCGAGACAGCTAAGATGGCAGTCACAAGAGGTTTGTTACATGCTTCATTTGAAGATGCTAAAATTATGTCTGAAGAGTGGAAATTTGAGAAGCATTGACTTTAACTCTGAGTTACAAGTCTCCCCAATTAATTTTTGTATTTTAATCTTTAGGGAGACCTATAGAGAAAATGAAAACATCAACTTACTACTTAAACTTCTTCTACTGGTATGCCAGTAAAATAGCCTTCAACTGCCACACCTTTAAATGACTGCCAGAGGTCCAAGATATGGGGACACAGAGCAAGAGACATAACTTAGTCTGGTTTTTGAGTAACTGTGACCCTACTTGAACCTGTGTCTATGTGGGCGATTACATCCTTCTAATATTCTACATACAACAATGACATTTAACAAGATGCTTTAGCCAGATCTTGCTAAGCAATGTCAGCCAGCCAGTTTTCACAAGTTGCTAAGTAAGGTGTTTAGAAGTATTTAAAAGACACAATCTCTAGGCTAGCTGGCAATTTTCTGAAGATATTTTCTAATTTTTTTTCTTACTCAGTTTCAAATGGTGATTTGGGCAGCTGGAACCTGGGGGCATATTTGCTTCATTACATATAATATTTTGTCAGCTGGAGCTGATTTTTTTGTTAACATACAGATGGACACAGAAAGCCTTCAAAGGCCTTACAAATATATTTTGTTTTAAATGTAAATACCACTCTGGTATCATTAATAGCCAAGCTAGCTTGTTTCTCTTAGCATTCTACACCTTATATGACAATAATCTCAGGGCTTTATTTTGCCTGGTATAAATTTTCATTAAGCTTGCAGAGGGCTCTTTCCGTCTTTCCTGACTGATTCAGGTTTAATTGGCCTCCAAGGATAGTAAGCTGTTTGAGGGTTCTTTCAGAATCTGTGTTCCTCTGCTTCTTTGCCAAATATTTTTTATTTCATCTAGCAATTTGTTTCTATCAATCTCTTTTCCCCATTTTTGCTGCCAAAGCTGCTGCATTTTTTTCTCTCATAAGGTATGCATTCCCCTCCATCAGTGTTCTTGGAAGAAACACCATTTTTTAGGTAGCTCCATCTTTTCTTTCAAAGTGCATTACGTTATGTATGTCCTAAAAAGAGGTTTAGTCAGAAGAGTTTTTTTCTATTTGCTTCTAGTCCAGTCTAAGTGAATCTCTGTAACAGATGTGTGCGTTGACCATGCCATTTAACTTCTTTCCAGTAAGGCCAAACGGAGTATGAGGAAGTCTGAACATAATTGATTCTAAGATAGAGACAGGATGAAAAAGTAGAAAATCAAAAAACCCTATTATATAACAAATTCAAAATTATAGACAAAAGTAATTTATTTCTCTTTCTTAATAACCACATAACATTCCTAAAACTTTTTCGTTCTATCAGGGAAGCCTAGGATTCTTGTACAATTTCCTTCAAACTGCACTAAGAGTTTTGGTATCCTTCTGTATTTTCTTGATTTTTCATTCTCTTCTGTGTGAATATAGAAGCCTCCACTTCAGCAATATTCTACTTCCATAAAGAGTACTGAATCTATTTTTTTCTTGCCATACCTCTAATTGTGCCTTATAGTTTCAGAAACAGTCCCATTCTGCACCAGTAGATCTCTAAGATGGTAGCTCACAGTTTTTGGGTTGTCTTTCTAGCCAGTACTACCCTGCTCCTCTATGCAGCTTTATTTATTTAACAGATTTCCAGCCATAAGGTTTGTAGCAGTCAAAGCCATCTCCTTTTCCATAGGTGGGCACAACTTTCAAATAAATGGCCATTTTATACAGCTGAATGCTCAGAGAGCCAAGCTTGGCCTGAGATGGATTCTTATTTTTCACAGATGACACTGTTTTTCAGTAGAGCAACCCCAAATTTTGAACCATGACATTCGCAAATATGGTCACATATTCATGTCATATTCTGATGTTCAAAGGTCCTTTAAAGTGGAAGAGACAACTGCTCCAGAATTTGGTGAAATTCTGGATAGTAACAGCAGAAATTTTATCAAAATGAATCTATCAAAAGTCAATAATGCACTGTACAACGTTTTTTATGTGCAAGAACTAAAAATTGCTCAGAAAGGCTGAAAAAATATCCTCTTTATACTTTCTACAACAGGGAGAGAGAAAAGACAGGGCTCTAGAGAGATAAAAGTTAAGACTAAATAAATAATAGGGAAGAGAGAAAGAAATAAAATATTAAGATAGAGAGATGACTGTCAGAAACAGTGTGCTTCTGATCCAAGTGTGGCAGATGCTTCCATTAAAGCACGTGTCTCAAATTAATAAACACCTTGAATGAAACTCTGCATCTCCTAAACATCTAGGGGGACAAGATTCCACCACAATCCTTGAGATAAAATGAAGTAATGGTATAGATGTTCAGGACTGCCACTAGCATGCCTTCTGTAGTCTTTCTGGAAATGAAAAGAATGAGAGAGAATGGAACTAAAAAGTTTAACAGTTTCATGCAAGTATTTATGCTTACCTGGCTGAAGACAGAAAAGTATGTACTCCTAGCTCAGGTACTTGTTTGTAGCTTATCTTGGACCTTTCCATTTTAATTCCTTAGCACATACAAAACTTCCAGGCTTCAAGAAACAGGGATCTAAGTTAAAAAGCAGTGATAAACAACAAAGCCCCACATTACCTCACAATCCTCAAATACAGTTCCTGTTTCTCAACCTGGTTTTGAAGTCTTGGGATTGTAAACTCGTATTTCACTTGCCTGCTATACACAAGTCATCTGCACACACTAAATGGACATATCAAAAAGTGCGCCGTCAAACAGAAACTAAATGAGAAAAAAGTAGAACACTTTTTGCCTCTGTGGCATTTTCCAGTTATGCTACTTCAAGTGTTCCTCAGATTAAGCACAGGTTAAAATATACTCAAAGAGAAATGTCAGTTCAAATTGCAGAGATCACTAAAATGTACTGAACACTGCACTTGAAAAACAAATCACATTTTGCATGCACACACCAGTCTTTAAACATTCAGATTGCAAACTGTTTATATTTGACATGCCAAGTGGGGGGGGAAGGGTTGGTGTTAATTTTTTAATAACTTAGATAACTATTAATTTTTTTAAAAAATTGTTGTAATCGTTCACAGCTGTTTACATGTTCTGGTTCTGAAATCTACAATCTTCTTACAGTATTTGGTGCTCTATTTTAAAACTAATCTGTTTCTAAAGTATGAGAAAAGTTATGAACATTGAGAGAAAATTTAGAACCCTTACTCAAAATAATACAAGTGTTTCACCTGATTTACTTTTTGTGGCATAACATTGAACTGAGCTTTAATGACTTTTGTCATAAAACTTACCAAAACAAAATCATATAACTTGTGTGTAAACTATAAATTATTAATGCATTTGTAAACTTAATTTTATATTTTCATAGAAGTGAGACTTTTCTCTACTTGTATAGGCTTTATTGCATGAAATTATATAGATGGGATAATGCCAACTTGAATAAATTCTGAAACCTATGCAATGACTAGACAAGAGAGATTCACAAATAGCTTTTTTTACCTTAACATTCCCAGATGTAAAGATCCCTTGAAGTGACATCAGGCCAGTTAATTCTGCCCCCTTTTTACATGTTCGGCATTCAAGAACAGGGTCCTCAGTTTGTTTTTTCACACGCTGTCTCACTCATAAGCACGACAGAACAAAGTTTTGACCATTTCTACCCCAGAGCTCTCTGCTATCCAGAAACAGACAGGAAACATCTGTTGCTCTTGCTTGAAGAGGCAGGAGGAACAAAGAGGCTTCTAAGAAATTTGGAGAGCTGCAGAAGAGACAACTACTAAGGGAGGCTGAAAATGAAGGCAGAGAAGGGATTAACACTAGAAAGTGACAGTTCACTTCCCTTACTCTGCTCCTTGAGTTCTCCATGATTATTCCCGCTCACTAGTGTTCAGTATTGTACATGCACTGAATGAGAAAACTGTAAAATTTGCCACGTCCCTCGATCCTTCTGCATTTGAAATATTTTTCTATAGCTACTTCTTCCTCTGAGGATTCTTAAGACTTTCAGGGAAGTTGGAAAACACCCCTCGCTCCAAATCTCAGATGAGCAAATACAAAATTGGTCACATAAAAAGCTAATTAGCACAACTGAAAATAGAACTATTTTAATTCTTCAGGTAAATACTGACTGGGGAGGTAATTTTTTATTTTAAGGAAATGCAAGAAAAGACCCAAAATTATATTAAGAATTAATATAGTTTTTAAAGGTGTGTTATTTACGGAAAATACTTGAATAGCTCCTTTGGAAGCATTTCAAGCTGTTAAACAATTATGCGTTTAGGACACATTGCATGTAGTAAAAACAGCTACAAATGTACATGGAAAAAATTATGATTAAATCCCATTATCTCAGACAGCAGCTTTGGCACAAATAACTCCAGACAGAACTCTGGATTTAAGTCAGGAACACAAAGCTATAGTGACGCCTCTGACACTGCCTCACGCCTCTGAGGCATGGCAGCACGCTGGCCAAACATCACTTACAAAGAAAGGCTGCCATCACCACATGGTTGTGCCCGTGCCTGTGCCTGCTACCTGCTTGCTCTTTTCCTTCTCAGCAGGACGTGGGCAGCCCTTAGGGATGGTCCCCAAAAGCAATAATATTACTCGAATTGTGCTCTGTGTGCGTGTCAGGCCTGCGGCAGCTGCGGAGCCGTGGGGGTCTGCGGGCCCCACACCCACCACCAGCTCCTGCGGGGCCTGCACCGGCACAGGGCGGCCGCAAGAGGAGAGCGGCCCACACCACAGCAGGGAAACAAGGCCTGTGGGGCGGGCAACTGAGAAATACCCTTTTCCTCAGACAGTAAATAAACTAACATGCAAAAGAGCTGCAGAAGTGAAGACACGAGCAAGCCTGACTCTGCTGCAGGACCAATCCATTCTCCTGTACTTAGTTCCTAAGATAGACACAATATCCTTGTACTTCAGTTGAAAGGATTCGGCCAAAAAGCAGCTTAAGCAGCACAGTTCAAGCTTCAATGCATATCTGTCTTTCTCCAGCATAAATCACCTACAGTAGTGCACATTTCCAGATACGAGTTTCATTAGTCCTCAAGCAATAGTGCATATTATGGCAGATCTCAGTCTAGCATGTGGGCTTCTGCTATATATGACCTATATAGTTAGGAAAATTACAAGATAGAGAGGTGTACAGAAAAGAACCAAAAGGCAGCAAGGACTGGTATGAAAGCATCATGAACGTCAAAAAGCTTTATGCAGCTCTCAATTTATTTTTTTTTAGTCCCCTTTCCTTGTCTTATTGCAACTTGTCTGACTCATCAACAGATCCCCCAAATGGCTGCACTAACACTTGTCTGGGACCAATATTCCAGAAGGTTTCCAGAAGGAACACCAGGAATTAGGATCCATAATCTATGTTACCTCTTACTATTGTGTGTCTCCACAGTGTTCTGCAACCCTATTCCAAATCACTTATCCAACCCATCTGTTCCTACCTCTTTCCCACCATCCTCATTTTGTCCTCATGTTCACAAGTCTTCCCATTAGCCCACAACAGCACTCTTTACTTACCTGTTTGTTTGGTGTCTGGTACAAGCTGGTCTTTACCAAGTCACGTACCTCAGGTCTTCTTATCCACTCCCCCATGCTGCTTTTGAAAAGTATGGCAAAGTGCTGCCATACAGCCCTGTGTGTATCTGTTCCAACCACACTTGAAGATTACATGTTTCTTTATTAGCTGAGGTCCCAACAGGGAGCCAATGTTTATATACTATGGGATACAGCTGTGCCAGATTAGCTTGTGCTCAACACCTCTGAAACAGGCAAAGACTACAATCAGAAACAGCAGGAGCTCAGAAAAGTAGAAGGTCCCAGTGCAGGTTTCAGCCAAGCTAACAATATAAGACATGGCTACTACCCTTTCAGGAGCCATCATTTTCACCACTAAACCTTCCAGCAGTACCGTCTGTAGTACTAGAATCAGAGTCTAGTACCTTCTTCTAGAGTGAAGAATGGCTGACAGAATAAGTCTCCAAAACCACAATGGCAGAAGCAGTAAGATCTTTTTGTATTCTACTACTCTCTCAATGTACTGATAATGATTCATGCAGTGGCCTAGGCAGAGGACAGAAATCAATAATAAATTTAAGTAGTAAATGTAGAACAGTCCCATCTAATATCATCATGATGTCTCCACCACAGGGTAATCACATGCACAGAATCCCATTGATTTTCCCTACAAACCCGATGTCTTTTCTTCAGATAGCAACATAATAGTGTAGATAACAGATTTCTTCAGATAACAACATAATTTAACTAGACAGTTACATTCTCTGGTGTTTGTCTGTCAAATCAAACATGTCCCAATGGAAGAAAAATATCCATTTAAGAAGCAACTGTGATGAAGTAGCCATTTGCAGTGTTCATGCGTAAACGATAAATAAAATCCTGTGAATACCTTACATAGAGTAGGTTCCATAGAAACAGGAGGGAGAACTTGAGGGTGGGTAGGTGGGTTACCCAGCACATGTGAAAGTTAGGGACTCCTTTAGATAATGTGAAATGTCAATATTTTGCCCATGCCTGGTACCCAACTCTCTGATGGTTCTTTTCTTGTCAAGGGGCCACAAGATTCTTACCTGAAAGATCTTTACAGAGAAAGGTGAGTTGCATTATGTGGTACCACTTATCAACTAATTTTTGCTGTTTGAAAATTATTTGCTATGGTGATCCACCAGCCCATAATCCTTGTAAAGGTATCATTCTTCAACAAGCTTTGTGGAAAATGCAGCTATGTTGCAAGATATATACAGAAATAAATTTTGTTAAATCTGTAGGCACACCAGGAGCATGGTCAAGATTTGAACTTTCGGAGGCTGTAAGAAAAGCAACAAATAGTTCTAAATCTTGCTTTGGAACCTTTTCCTGGTGGTGTCCATTTCATGTTGAGCTCAAAATCTGTGTAACAGCCTTCTGACAGAAGAGAATGCACGGCTGGGGAAAGAAGTTTTTTTCCTAGCAGGTAATTTTCATAGCATTCTTCTGCCAACTCAGCAATAATAAGGCTCGAGAAGGGTACCAACTTGTCCAAACAGAGGCTTGTACAGTGTCAAGATGCCAAAATGAGCTCTGGAATTACAGAGTTTTGAGTCAGAAATAGCTTTTTTTTCCCTTTAGTTCCAAGATGAAAGAAGGAATTGTATGTAAAATGGCTTGTAAAAAATGCTTCCTTTTGATACAATCTTTTAAAAACTAGAGCACAGAACAACCTGCTGACAACCACTAGTACCCCACTGTTGTGGAAAATGGCTACTATTCCTGTCTAGCTAAGTCAGCCACATCATCTTCTGCCCTTTTTCACAGTGCATGATCTACACACCTGGTGTTAATGCTAGTGTAAAAATCTGGAGGAAAGGCAGCCAGCTGCTCATTAGTTCTTCACTTAAAGATGCCACAAACCACTCTTGACACGTGACTATTAGCTCCATTCCTTTGTTCCCCAACACCCAGAACAACTTGTGAGAGAATGCATCAGAGCTTTCCTGAAGCCATTGGCAAAACTTGCCTTACTGATTCCAGCTGCTAAAAATGCCTAAAACCAAGGCCTGGTATTTCTTTTTCAGACCAGCTCCAAAAAGTCCTCTGCAGAGTCCCTTGCCAGAGGAAAATCTCTATCATCAGACCAGAAATCCAGCTCCTCACCAGTCTTTAAGTGATGATGATATTGTCCTTAGACATATTGCTCCTTGACCTGCTAAGCAACAGTGATTAAAAGGTCTTGCTCTCTGCAAGAATCAGTGTCAGTTTGCAACTTGCAAGGATCAAACCATTAGTTCGTTCAGGAATGAACACAATACTGAGATTACAGCAAGGGTATGTACAACCCTTGTACTTAATAAAAGTTGAACCACTGAAATTGGTAACACAGGATGCTCTCAAACTCATGCTGTCTTGCAGATCTAGCTTTAAGGTCTTCTTACCTTACACAAGACTGCAAGAGATAAAAACCAGCCGGGGATCTAAAGACTACCATACCAAGAAACCACACAAGAGAGAAGCCTGGCACAAAAATAAGTACGTAAAATGATACAGACTGTACCAGAAAGAAACAAGAAGCACTTCAGGCAAGTGTTGTCAGGAACCCATGAAGAACTGAAAAGCATTTTACAATTTTGTCTTGGTATCACATGAATGCCCAGAGGACCAGAAACAAGGCCATGAGGTAGCAACAATCCTAGATACACCATGAAGATCTTGTGAATCTTCGCCCTGGAGGTGAGCAGGGAGCTTTCAGAAATTACTGTCCCATAGCACAAACACTATGGCTGTGAGCCATTAGGCAGACAGCCCTTAGGCTGCAGGCTTTCCATGAGACTTCCAGAGTTACTTTCTTCTAAAACACCTACCTTCTGAAGCTTAACAACATATTTTTTTATAAAATGTGCTACCTAAACACTAATTAAAGTAACCACTTGATGAAGTAAGCATAAAAGCTCTGACAAATAAAGTATTCTCATCTTCACCAATGAGACATCAACACCCTTGACACCAAAACACCTTCATCCACAGAGGAATATCAGTGAAAGTGTCACTCCATAAAACTTGTGAAAAGCAGTTTGAATAAGGAAATAGCCCTCTCCTCCCTCCTGCTTAAAATAATGCACTAATACAGCTACTGGTGGCTAAGTGATGAGAAATAGAACCTGAATATTAGAAATATACTAATATGCTCTGCATATTAAAACAACTTCTGAAAACCAAGCCCATCCACCTGCTTAAAGAAAGAGGATTTAGAGTACATTAATATATTGACAACATCCATGGAACACTGCAAATCTAAGCAGAACTGTCTTCCCTCAAGCTGCAGCTCTTACCCCAACCAATTTCATCCTTTCGTTTTATTAAACACATGATTAAACTGGTGGTGAATTAACTCCCTCTTCTCTGTACCTATCAATTCCTTTTGCTCTGAATCTCTAAAAGATTTGCATTAATATTTTTTTCCACCTAACTGCAAATTCAGATAATCTTTCCTACGTGACTTCCAGTTCTCATTTTTCTAGGCTGAACTTAGCCTGGTTTATCCTAAATTATCCTGGTCTGTCCTCTGTCATTTGATACTCCAAAAGTTTAGACTTCACAAATAGAAGCATTTCACTTTCATTACAGCATTATATACAACCATTACTCCCCTTAATCTCATAGTTCTCACTTAGTCACATCTCCTTATTAATACTCCATGTATTGTGAATGTGTCAGAGGACTTAAACACGACCTATAGGATGGGACCTACATATTCTCCATGCCCTGCTCAGCATGAGAGCAAAACATCCCCACTACACCAACAGGGCACATTCATGTCCATGCACATACAGATGGGGTGTATTTGTGGAGGTGGAAAATTACCATCTCTGTGTCCATAGGGAAAGAAAACACTGCTTCTGCTTCCCACCACCTACTGCAAAATAATAAAACATCTCAGGCTATCAAGACATATTATGAAATTACACCTTGTTAGTTAACAAGAAACACAGTAAACTCAAGTCAAAAGAAAAAAAAAATAGTGTTTTATTAACTACCACACTGTTATAATACACTTTAAACGTACAATAAGGTAGCCTTTAAATTTGAGGTGGTTTTAAGAATAACAAATGAACAGATTTCCAAATGTTTGTAAATAGGTGAACTGCAGTAATTATTGTTGTACATTTTTTGAAAATGGTATAGCACTTACAGACTGGCTATATAACTTCATTTTGTACATTTTCTATAATTGAAAATATAAACAGTAATTAAAAAATAAAAAGAAAATTCAGCATAATAAAAAACATATATGTTTATCAGTTAAATGTACTGGATACATACAATTTTTAAGGGAAGAAGCAAAAAAGGAAAGATGGCTGATATTTAAATGCAGATTGACTAACCAAAAACTAAACAACAAACAAAAACCTCATAACCCCCCCTAGTTCACTATGACTATATCCATATGTTTGGGAGTACTGTCAATATGGAAGTGATTTTTCTTTTGTATTTGCATATGTTATATTTTACTGGTAATTTACATGATGGCTTTTTAAGGCCCTGGCATACAGATGTTTTTTTGGAAAAAGATTTGATAAAAATCACTGCTGAGACGCAATACACCTTATTTTTGGTCCTCCAATGTTCAAAAGAAGGGATATACTTCACTATAACATCTGCCTTACCACCCAAATGCTTCAACCTATACATATTTATTTTTCTTAACATTTTAAGCTTTTTAAACATTGGTTATATTGCCCACCTTGGTTATTGAAAGAATATTAACAAGACATCATTTTGGCAAATTAAATCTTAAACATGGCTTTTCAATAGGATTTAAAAGGTGACTATCCCTAGAGTTCCATGTTAAAATGTAGTTTGCAAAATCTTACAAGAGTAATGCTTAAAATATTGTACATAGTTAACCTAATTAAAATAATTAGCTTCAAAATGACAAGTTGATGAGCTAAGTAAAGCCTACACTATGTAACATTTGCTTGGAAACTTGATTTGTCAGTTATGCATAATAAAAATTCCAGTCATCAAGAAAATTACAAAATTTCTTTTATCATAATGTGATTTCTTTTCACCCATCAACTTCTTTTATCTTACAATAGATAAATACCAACATGTTCTCATTTTTTTTACACTAAACCACACAGGATTGATGCATTTGGTTAGACTACCATTTCCATCGTTAAATTCTTTTTTTTTTTTTTTTTAATATAACTTG